TATTAAATTTATATCCTGCCCATCTCCCCCAATGGGTGACTCTGGGCAGCTCACAATTAAAACAAGACCCACAAACAATTAAAAATAAATGCCACATTAATTAATTAAAATTAATTAATCAATTAAAAAGTCAAGCTATGAAGCAAACCCTACACATAAAAACTAAAAAAGATTCAAGATGACGGGGGGGAGGGGCAAAATCAATTACTCCACAAGCCACTACCCCCGATTATTTATTTATTTATTTCTGTATTAATGAATGCTTAATTATGCTTCATGATTTGATAAAGAATTAATAATCAATGTATTATTTGTTATTTATGAATGCATTAAACTATTATATATCTTGCCTGGAGATGTACAAAATGGCAGAATGCCATGGCAGCCAGAACTTCAGTTGCCATGTATTGTACAGTATGAGCCCCACCATGGAGAAATTAGAATTTGCTATTATTGTTAAAAATATACATGGTGAGACCTGCAAACATGTCCCATCAAAGATTCAGGAAGGACTATGTAGGAATGGGAGGTTCTGCAGGTGATGTGGGCCAGAGTCGGGTAAGGTTTTATATAATATATTAAGCCCCTTGAACTGGGCTTGAAACGTGAAACCCACCACATTCTGGGCCAGCTGTAATTTCTGGTCTAGCCTCAAGGGCTGTCCCACAAAATACATATCACAGTAATCTAGCCTTAAGAATGCCAGTGCAGGTAACACCACAACCAGGTCTCTTTCCTCCAGGAAGAAGCATCTTTCATTAATCAACCAAGTCTGATAAAAGGCCTCTGTTGCTATTATTATTTTGTGGCTATGCAATCTGAATGCTCAGAAGGATACCCGGTCTGTGAATCTCTTCTATAAGGGGAAGTGGTACCCCATCCGGAATAGACATAAACCCCTAACCTCAGAGTCCAGTCCCTGCAACTACACCAACAACCACTTTGTCTTGTCCAAATTCAGAATCAGCTTATACTTCCACCTCCAATCCATTATCTCCAGAAGATATGCACAGACTTTTAAGACATCCAAACTTGATCTTATGAGAAATAAATAGAAATGACTAATATCCATCTACAGACTCCAGGAAGCTCCAAACCTGTGAATGATCCTTCTCAGAGGTTCATAAGGACATTAAATAACAATGGAGGTAGGATAGAACCTTGCAGGATCCTCCAAGACAGTCCTCAGGGTGGTGAGCAGAGTAGGTGCTATTAATAAAAATCTTCTGAGAACACTCAAAGAGAGAATAGCAGAACCACTTCAAGACAAAACCCCCAATTCTCAGCTCATCCAATTGCTCCAAAACTATACTGTAACCAGTGGTGAGAGATTCAAGAGTATGAACAAGGTTGTACTTTCCCTTTCTGTCTCCTGGTATTAGTCATCAAGATAACCACCTCTGCCTCTAGGCCTAGATATCCCAAGGTGTTGTGTTCTTGGCAAATGAACAGACACCTCCACCATTCACATACCTCTCTGAATGCTTTTCCCTGGATTTGTAACCTCAAAAGAGATAAGAAAATAAGTGATATCATAACACATTACAGGTGTTGCTGCAGTGGGCGCTCCATATAAACACTTTGTATACGCTGGGGACTTTGAGGGTATTTTGGATAACTGCTTAATACCATTACTAAGATTTGTTGAAGTTGTGCAATAATATGGCTCATACTCAGGGTAGGCTAGTAACTGGGAGGGGGGAACCCTGATTTTCTTCCTGTAGGAGCAAAAATATCTCTAAATCACTATAATAAATTATTTTTTTCTTTATTATTATTTGTTTCAATTGTACAAAATATTTGGGATTATATTTTTCCCCAAATATATCACAATAGGTTGAATTAAATATGTCTAGGCATATAGATATGATTACAGTAGACATAAATTGGTGGTTAAAATGATCTTTGGGTCTTGGGGACAAGTTTAACATGATTAAAATAAATATATCATTTAGAATGATGTGTATCTAATACAGGGATTCTAATTTAATTCCTATTATATGTTTTATCAAGCCAGACAAATTCTTGAGAGAGTTTAGGTGGCAAGAAAAGGTTGGTCCCCTCTTTCTGGCCAAACTGAAGAAGTCATCTTATGATGATGGTACCTTGCATCTACCAGATGAGAGCTTGAATTTCAAATATAATACATAAATCATCTGACTGACATTACATACAGTCAAAACATGTATTGACCAATCAATATGCTTTGATGCTTTAGTAGCTTCAGAGATACCTAAAATGCTTGGAGCTTTAGAGATGCTGTATTTAAAGTAGAATCATCAATCCTGTTTTACATCAGACAAAACACAAGATGAAGGTGAATATTGGTAATTTATATGAAATGTGGAAAGAAGGGTTAGAATATCCCGATTTGGAAAACCAGTGTGACTAAATTTAGGAAACATAAAATATACTTTTTATGACATAGGGATGAAGTTAATAAAGAAAAACTTGTGTATTGCTTATTAGGCTCCCCAAAGAATGTTTAAAGAATGATTCCTGTAAGCGATTTTTAATAATTGATTATTTAGTTTTAGTTCATTATAATAATAATTGCTTACATTACGTCTCTGATAATGTTACGTTATTAAGTGTTGTTACATGTGTTGTTACATAATATTACAATATTATGTGTTGTTATTATTATAATCATGGTTGTGTTGTTATTATTATTATTTTTATTATTATGGCTGTTAAATTTCACCCACAATAATGTATTTAAAAACTGTGAATTTTAACTTATGAAGAGATTATTTGTAAAGCTCAGTATGAAAAAGGTTGTATCAATTGTATCTTGTCTATTGTTTACTAGACTCCCCAAAGAATGTTTTAAAAAGATTCATGTAACAGATTTTTAATAATTAATTCTTTAAGTTTAGTTTAATATAATTACATTTTTCCTCTGATAATATTATCATGGTTGGCTGATGATGATGATGATGATGACGATGGTTGGTTGTACATTCACCCAGATGTTTAGACTGGATTTGGCATTTTTATCCACTTATCAAGTCCTTCTCAAGGACCTGGGATAGGCAGATTTTGTTTGATGATGTTAAAGGTATTGTCGCAGGATATAAGCCGATCCAAGTTGTTTTTGTTATTATTATTGTTATTATTATGGTCTTAAATTTCACCAGCAATAATATATTTAAAAAAAACTGAATTTTAAATTCTGAAGAGGTTATTCTTAAATGTTTTTAAGAATATGAAGGGTTTTCTGTGAACTTTACCTCATTGAAGTTCCTGGGCCACTGAATAGTATCCTCAGAAATAGTGAATATTTTACCAAGAAAATGCTGTGATTCCATTCTTCCAACTTTCACTCTAAAAAAGGACTGATTTGGAAATGTAACCCAATTTATAATATCAAATCCAGCTATTAATTTCTCACTTGACTCAAAGGAAAGGGTTTCCCCAACACTGTTATTGAATGAGACACTTCTCAGATAGTGGTGAAGCTAAATTAAAATTAGGAAGAGAGGTAATATTAATTATTATTATTATTATTATTGATCATAATATCATGATATTTAATAATCAGGGTTATAATGAAATATAGGTATCAGTGGAGGTGTAATGAAATGGTGACTTTTAGAGTTTATAATTCTGTGAAAATTCTATGAAAATATTTTTCTCTGATCCTGAAAAGTACTGTTATAGGTTCTAAAATGACTAATGTAAAATCCATTTAGAAATAAGGTTATCAATAATCAACAAATTATATTTCAGTTTATTAAAATATATGGTCATAGACCAAAAAAGTAATAAATGAGATAGTAGGCTAATGAACAAATGTCAAGAAGTTTTTTTTTTTCACCGTGATAAGAGCAATTGGATTCCAGATGGTTTCTGAATATTGTATTTTATTCTTTCCATATACCCCCTTCTCTGATTTCTCTTTAGGGAATCAATTGCACATTCTTGTGCTTAATTCTTTTTGTCCTATACTCCCCTCTCCATGAAGTTTTCCCCCAGTTTTATAATGCAAACTTTACAATTCTTTGAATTATTAAGAACGTCTGCATTAACTAGACTCATAGTGAAAATAATATACTTTTTCACTCCAGTTAAACAATTTCTAAAATGTATGTTGAAAAGAAATAACCGTGTTTCACTCTTATGTCTTTTTCAAAAACCTGAGATGGTGTTAACTCGGAGCTCTTTTGAGAAAAAGTTAACACGTTACACCACCAGAATCTCTCCAAGTTGAGCTGTTGTACCAAATTTATATAATCAATCAATCAATCTTAGTATTTTCTTTGAGCATTAGGGATATGATGCAAAACCTCCCTGACCTCCCTTCTGCAAGACCATGAAAACCCTTATATTCAGTATCAAGGGAATTTTAAAATAAAATGGAAATGAATGAATGTATGAATGAATGAATCTTGTATATCAATGTGGTAATACATATCTATCTATTAATAGATAAACAATAGATGACTATCTCTTATACATACATATCACAGCTAGATAGCTAACAGATTACTATCAGAGCCAGTTTGGTGTAGTGGTTAAGTATGCATCAGGCTAGAAACCAGGAGACTGAGAGTTCTTAGGCACAAAGCCACCAGTCACTTTCTCTCAGCCCTACAAAGGAGACAATGACAAAACATTTCTAAAAAACCTTGCCAAGAAAACTGCAGGGACTTGTCCAGGCAGTCGCCAGGAGTCAAAATCTGACTCAAAGGCAAAACAAAAACAAAAACAAAAAATTCTTACATAAAATTCCAAGAAAAAGCCCACCTAAACCAAATATATCTTTTTAAATAATTCAGCAAATTAGTTGTGAAACAGCAGATATTTCTTGGATGTCCACCATGTGGCAAGATCTCAGTACTGCCATAAGAACTGGACAACTGGATTCAAATTTGAAGGACCATTACAGGATCAGCCAGGACTTCAGCAGTGAGTCTTCTTACTCAACAGAGACTGGGACCCCTTGTACAAGCAGAGAAAGAATAGACAGTCATGCATTAATGTTCTCTGGAAATTACCTGCCATGGCTGTTGATAGACAAGCGCATTTCTCCCTTTAACCTTGATTGTTCTTGTTTTCACTGATGAAGAGTGCAGAGCATGCAAACCTTCTGCTACTACATGGACAGCATTATAGATGCTGTAGCTCTGGCCAGTCATGCCCATTTCAAAAACCGACTCAGGAAGATTCTCCAGACTTTCTTCCCCACTACAGAGTCCTCCTGCTTTGGTTTCTGAGATGTCACTGGAGAAAGAACACTGAAATGACTCTTCCCAGAAGTCCCTGAGGAAGCCATCTTCCTTTTCTGATGTAAGCTTTCGGAACTGAAGGAACTGATGGAATCCTAAAACCTCCTCACTGTGAACTGCAAAAGAGATAGCGCCATGGATGAAGTCCATGTTCCAACTACGTTGCATAGGGAAGGATGTGAAATCCATCTGGGCTGTGAAAATCCACACTCTGGATTTCATTGGCATTTCCTGAAATCTAGAGTATTCGGGTAATAGCCTAAACACCATGATTGTTTGAATTTCACCATGTACAATTATTACATTGGCAGTCCCTCCCATAACAATGCTAATTAATTTCAGACCTTGTAATGTAATGTCAGCAAGGGGGATGCGGTGGCGCAGCGGCTTAATGACGCTGAAAGTTGCCGGCCAGAAATGGTCGACG